AGGCCACGTTTGAAGGAGCTGCAAGTGTTGCTCGTGGAGGATGAGGGAGAAATCCAAGAAGCAGCCGAGGAAGTGGATGAGACGGAAGCACCGGAGATGGTAGAAATTTCTCTGAACTCAGTGGTGGGTTTAACTACCCCAAAAACCATGAAGATGAAGGGACGGGTGGGACCCCAAGAGGTGGTGGTTCTGGTGGACTATGGTGCTACACATAACTTTATCTCCTCTATTTTGGTTCAGAAACTAGGGATTCCAGTGGTGGGGAGAGTGGGGCTTTCCTTGGCTGGGTTAGAAATTGTGGAGGATTTCATGCCCCTGGAATTGGGTAGCTCGGATGTTATCCTGGGAATGCAATGGCTGGGCACGCTTGGTGGGATGCATGTCAATTGTCAGACACTTACCATGAAGTTTCGGGTGGGTGAGATTCAAGCGACTCTGCAAGGGGAACCTGGTCTGAGCAAATCCCTCGTGTCCCTGAAATCCATGATGAAGGTTTTGCGGAAGGAGAAAGAAGGATTGTTATTGGAGTTTAGACAGGGTTCGGTAGGGTTGGAGGTTGGTTGTGAGCAGGACGAGCAAGTTCCAGAACCTATACAAGCATTGCTGCAACAGTACTCCTCGGTCTTTGAGATGCCCGAAGGGCTTCCTCCCCGGCGGAGTCGTGATCATGCAATTATCCTTCAAGAGGGGACATCCCCCATCAGTGTACGGCCGTATAGGTACCCGCAAGCCCAGAAGGATGAAATAGAATGCTTGGTCAAGGAGATGATACAATCCGAAATCATTCAAGACAAGCTCCAGCCCTTTTTCCAGTCCGGTGTTGCTAGTAAAAAAAAAGACGGTAATTGGAGGTTTTGCGTTGATTATCGCGCTCTTAATGAAGCAACAGTGCCGAACAAATTTCCCATACCGGTCATAGATGAACTCCTCGACGAACTGCATAAAGCTTGCATTTTTTTGAAGCTAACACCAGATTAGGGTGCGGGAAGAAGATGTGCCGAAAACCACCTTCCGAACGCACGAAGGGCATTACGAATTCTTGGTGATGCCTTTCGGGCTCACCAACGCGCCGGCAACTTTCCAGTCGTTAATGAACGACGTTTTCAAAGCCTTTTTGCGGAAATACGTCCTAGTTTTTTTCGATGACATCCTCGTGTACAGTACAAGTTTAGAGGAACATGTGGGGCACTTGACACAGGTGTTGGAGGTGCTGCAGCAACGCCATTTATACGCCAACAAGAAGAAATGTAGCTTTGGCCAATCGCAATTGGAGTATCTCGGCCACATCATTTCCGCAAACGGGGGTGGCAGCGGATATGAAAAAAGTGGCGGCCATGCTGACATGGCCAACTCCGACGTCACTCCGAGAACTCAGGGGCTTCCTTGGCTTAACCATATATTATCGGAAATTCGTCCAAGGCTATGGCAACATCGCATGGCCCCTTACAGATCAGCTCAAAAAAGACAATTTTGGATGGACACCGGCGGTTGACCAAGCTTTCCGACAGCTTAAGCAAGCCATGTCATCCGTGCCCGTGTTAGCTTTGCCAAACTTTAAACAACCTTTTATAGTCGAAACAGATGCTTCAGGGTATGAATTGGGGGCGGTTTTATCTCAAAACCAGCGGGCAATTGCTTATTTCAGCCACGTTTTGTCTCCTCAGGCCCGCTTGAAGTCAGTCTATGAATGGAGTTAATGGCTATCGTCCTCGCCATCCAGAAGTGGCGGGCTTACCTTCTGGGACGGTGGTTCATTGTTCGGACTGATCAGAGTAGCTTGAAGTATTTACTTGAGCAGCGGCTGGTAAAGCTTGGAGCACCAACGATGGCTTTCCAAGCTTCTTGGGTACGACTTTGAGATTCAATACCGTTCGGGGACTGGGAATAAGGCTAGGCTGCTGACGCACTTTCTCGGATTACTCCAGTTTCCTCGTTTTCTCACTCACTTCTTTCTGTTCCGGAACCCCTGGATATGACGGAGTTGCAGCAACAATTTGGCCAAGATGCTCGCCTATGCCAAATCCGGAGCACAGTCCTTCGGCTTACCTAGGGTTTACTATAGAGCATGGCCGGTTGCTATTTAAAGGCCGTATGGTGATTCCCAAAGCCTCCTTTTGTCCGAACACTACTTCGGGAATACCATGACAACCCTTTTGGCGGTCACTCCGAAGTGTTCAAGACATATAAGTGCTTGGCATCAGAACGGTATTGGTTGGGCATGAAACGTGATGTGCAGAACTATGTGGCTCAATGCCCCACTTGTCAACAAAACAAAAACCAATCCTTATCTCCGGGGGGATTATTGCAGCCCTTACCTCTACCGGACAGGGTATGGGAGGATGTGTCGATGGATTTCATCGACGGGCTGCCCAAATCGGAAGGGTACGACTCCATTTTTGTAGTGGTGGATCGGCTCAGCAAGTATGGCCATTTCATTGCTCTGCATCACCCCTATACAGCCCACTCGGTTGCTCAAGTGTTCATGACCGACGTGGTTAGGCTACACGGCATTCCCCGTTCCATCGTCTCCGATCGCGACAAGGTCTTCCTTAGCACCTTTTGGTCTGAACTCTTTCGGTTGCAGGGAACTTCTCTCAACCGCAGCACGGCGTATCACCCGTAAACGGATGGACAGACCGAGGTCGTGAACTGATGCATTGAAGCTTACCTCCGTTGCTTCGCCTCGGATAAGCCCCGCCAATGGAAGAAATGGCTTGCTTGGGCGGAATATTGGTATAACACGTCCTTCCATTTGGCGGCCCAAACCACACCCTTCTGTATCCTTTATGGGCGTGACCCGCCTCCCCTAGTCCGTTACAACCCAGGGACCACCACGGTTTCTTCTGTTGAGCAGCAGCTGGCTTCTCGGGATGGCGTGCTCGATGAACTCAAACAACATTTGGTCCGTGCTCAAGAGCAAATGAAGTTGGAGGCGGATAAACACTGGCGGAATGTGTAGTTTGTTGTGGGCGATATGGTTTACCTTAAGCTCCGCCCCTACCGGCAACGAACACTTGCCACTTGCCGCAATGAGAAGTTGGCTCCCCGTTTCTATGGTCCGTATGAAGTGGTGGCACGTGTGGGCGCTGTGGCTTACAAGCTACATCTGCCTGAGGGTGCCCAAATTCACCATGTGTTTCATGTTTCCCGCTTCGCCGAGCAATTGGCACCATTCAGTCCTTCCCATCAGCTTCCACCCCAACTGTCGGTCGGACACGAGCTCTTAGTGGAGCCCGAACAGGTGTTGGGAGTTCGGCCCGGAATGGACGGTCAACCGGGTGTGGTCAAAGTGCTGCTCCAATGGCGTGGGCTTCCCGCCTTTGAGGCTACTTGGGAGCCATTTTCCACCATTCAGCAGCAGTTTCCAGCCTTTCCCCTTGAGGACAAGGTGAAACTTTGGGCGGCGGGTAGATTCACTTATTCCAGGAGACTGAAGGCCCAGATGAAAGCCCAAGGGCAGGAAGGGGTTTTTGTGTAGGTTGCTGAAGGAATTCCCGAGGAGGAAGTTGGTTAGAAGGGTGCGCCTTGGGATTGTGTAGGCTATTAGAATTTGTTAGGCAATTCTGTTATTTTCGTTGTGAGCGTGAAATAAAAGAAGAGAGGAAGAGAGGTGGAGGTAGGCAATTGGTTAGTCAGAAGAGACTGGTTAGGAGGGAGAGCTAACAGACCTCTGTAATAATCTGCGAATTTATCCTCTACTTTGTATGCGTTTTCATTGAAATTAAATATAGAACAGAGCAAATTCTAGCTCATTCTTGCCCAGAATCTATTCCATTCTTGTTTCAAACTATCCGGATTCTATCAAAAAGAAAATTATAAGAGAAATTAAACACCTTCCATCTCTCTCAGGCTCCTTGCATTTTCTCTAACCTCTCACTTACTCTTAATATAAGTAAAATTGTGGTAACCAAAAAGCACATGTGAAATTCTCCTATATAAGGGTGATCTGAATGCTAACTCTTTGTCAGAACAATAATTAGACTCCATGTGCTCTAACATAAACTTTGAGGGAAATATCTGCAACTCACTTTCCTCTATCTGGTGGGCACGTGCATGTAGAGCCCTTTCATGGTTATCCACTGAACATTGGTTGCAAGGCCTGAGGGCGTCTCGTATTTCATTTTTTATGTACATATAAATGGGCAAAGTTTGAGTTAGGGACTGGGATAACCCAGAGGGCGGAGACCTTTCAAGCTTATCTACTTAAGGAGACACACGGCACCTGAAAACATATGGGGCCCATGAAAAAGAATTGTGGGTCCTTGACTTCTCCATGAAGCCTAGCCGTTAGAAGTGGCCAAGTTGCCACTGCCAAGTGCCAACATGGTTGACATGAGGATAGGCCATTGTGGTCTGTTGCTTTATTCACTGCTACTCGCTTTCTTTTCAAGGTTTTTCTTTTTCCAAAATGAAACTTTGTATTGTTCTATATTCTGATTATGACCATAGTTTATGCCAAGGCTTAACTAGAAATGATTGCATCAGATACATTACCTTGCTAGGGCTTAAGTTATCATAACGGGTGCCTTAGCTTAGTAATTAGGCGTATTTCAGGAAAACCTTTGGAATGACACGTCCAAGACACAACAACGGAACTAGATAATGTACTATTTGTTTACAAAAGAAATTCGGACCCTTTTCACTAGCATGTTCGTTGCAAGATTGCAATGTGCATTCAGCTCAATGAGTATACTTAGGGTCCGTTCATTTCGCTGATTCGAGTTTGTAATTCGAGTTGAGATGTGATTTTGTGTGAGAGCTTTTTACTGTAGCAAAAAAGTTAGATGTGACTGTTTCTGAGAGCTTTTTACTGTAGCAAAACTCGAATTCTAAACTCGAATTGGCGAAATGAACGGGGCCTTAAATGTTCATTGTTGTACTCGTTCATATATATTCCTTCTTTCATACGTTTAGATTGCCCATCTTTGGATTGGATTTGTCAGCTGTACTTAAATAATCAATTGATCGGTTGTTATCTAATGGAGATTGCATAATTGCAGCTTGCATATATTGGGATGTGAAAACACAACCATTCATGATGTTTCAATCTACGGAGATTTTAACACACCGAATACTGATGGGATAGATATTGAGGATTCAAATAATACACAAATCACAAGATGCCACATCGATACAGGAGACGATGCAATCTGTCCGAAGACATATTCTGGCCCTCTTATAAATTTAACCACCACCGACTCTTGGATTAGAACAAAGTCTTCAGCAATCAAACTTGGTAGTGCCAGTTTGTTTGATTTCAAAGGCCTTGTGTTTGACAATATTACCATTGTAGATTCTCACAGAGGACTGGGATTTCAGATTCGTGATGGAGGTATGCCTCCTTTGCTTACCATTCAACCGATCTCTCTTAGTACATAAAGAAGAAAGAAAAACTACACTAATTTGAGGATAAATCCAATGCAAAAAATTCCATCCCTTTTTGCAGAATCATATTGAAAGATCTTTTCAAAATGCAATCTGCTATGCATTTATCTATTAGATGAGTTTTGATCAAATTGGTACTGTTTCTCTTGTGGTACTAAATGCTTTGAGAAATTTAAACTCCTTTGGTCATAGTAAATAAAGTTCCTGTGATCTTATTTGCTTCATCGTAAATGAGCATAGTAAATGAGCTTTCTTTATGCTCATTTATTCATCTTGTGCAGGAAATGTTAGTGATGTAACATTTTCAAAAATCAACATCAGCACAAGATACTATGATCCATCATGGTGGGGGAGAGCAGAGCCTATTTATGTGACTACTTGCCCACGGAACTCAAGTTCTAAGGAGGGTTCTATCTCAAACGTACTCTTTGTTAACATCACTGTAAATTCCGAAAATGGCATCTTCTTATCAGGCTCGAAAGGCGGAGTACTTAGAAACTTGAGATTCATCAACGTGAATCTCACTTACAGACGATGGACAAAGTATGCTGGTGGCGTGGTTGACTATCGACCGGGGTGCCAGGGACTAGTTAATCGCAGCTCGGCTGGATTCTTGATGGAACACATCGATGGATTGGAGGTCAAAAATGTAAACATGAGATGGAATGATGATCGATCGAAGCGGTGGAACATTCCTTTGGATTTCAGGTCTGCAACTGTAAATAACATATCTCTGCTTAATTTCCATTCGGGTTTGTTCAAACAATGGCAAACAGGGAAATGAGCAAGAGCCATTGGATGATGCCATTATTTTGATTGTTTTTGTTATGGACGTATTTGAGCAGGGTTCCAATATTTTCCACGAAACCTGCTGTCTTAGAATCCGTAAGTGTACCTTTAAGATAATAATACAATTCATTTTGGAATAAAGATCGCATTTCCCTTCAGAATTTGAAATATGTGCGTCTTAAAATCCTTGCACTAATCCTCTTATCTCTTTTCATAAACAATCGTAGGTCCCAAAATTCTTTCACTAATTCCCTTACTTATCTCCATGCTTCCACCTTTCCTCCTATTATACAAGCTCCTGGAGTTTGAATTAACTATTTGTTTTTTTAATCAAGAACACATCATCAACACTATCACTTTGTGACTGGGCTACATTTACCGGTTCACATTATCCCGTTTGGTTCGCTGATTTGAATTTTATTGGTTCGAACATTTTGATTTGAACAGAAAAATTCAAACTGTGTGGTTTATATTGTAATTTGAATTGAAAGTTTTAATTTAAATAGAGAATAAAATTTAAATTGTGTTTGATAGGTGTGAAAAGCAGAGAGAATGGGCACTTTTTCTGTTCAAAAATGATTTGAACGGTTGAATTTGAAAGAGGAGCTAAACTCTAAGGGCATGTTTGGTTCAACAACTCAAACTGTGGAGATTTGAACCTTTTTTTATTACAACTGTAGAATTTGAATTGTGGTGATTCAAACTGTGATTCAAAATGTTGTTTGGGTATGCAAATAAATTGTAATTTGAATTGAGAATAAAATCCGAATTGTGTTTGGATAAAGTGTTGAAAACTGTCATTAAAGTTTTGTAACAAAACTTATAAAATCTCATTATAAATGACATTAAAAATATGCAATATGGGTGAGATGAACATATGGGTGAGGATTTGTTCATCTTTTCATTATGAACACATTAAAAAAATCATCCCAATCGGAATTAAAACGAAGAAGTTATGTGTAATGATCGAGAAAATTTTGATGTTAATTAGTGTAATTTATGTAATTAAATCATGAATTTTCTGGATAATGACATGTTTTGTAATGAATGATTTATGGAATTAATAATATTATTCTAAAATTCAATATAAAAATTTTATGTCAGAAATTTTTATGTTATGACTCGGTCGATAATCCTAACTGTAATTCAAGACGAGAGAAATTTTCAATTCGACTATGACTCGTGATACTGTTCATAAGAATTTCTGAATACTATACAGTGTTAGCAGTGCTCTGAGAAGCACTCTAACATTTAATGAAATCCTTAGTGTGTTACGCGAATTGGGTTTTCGGTAAAACCGTAAAGCCGGGTTCGGAAATCGACAATGTCATTTTTATGTTTTACTGAGAGTTTAAGACACGTATGTTAAACTCATATTTTAAGTTATTTTAAGATAAATTTTAAAGTCTGGAAACAACTCAAATAATCTACTTGATTTTAAATCTAAAACGGTATTAATTTCTTCCTGATATAGTGTTGGATTGTGATTTAAACAATGGACTGAAAATCGTTGAAAATTATTTGTCATGTTAACTGATCTATAAATTACCGTCAATACAAGTATAATCAGTTTAAGAATGAATCTTTGGCGGACAAAATGAAGGCAACGATTTAAGCTTGATATGACAAAGGTTTTAAGTCATTATTTAGTATAAATTTTCTCTCTCTTCTCACTAAGTATGACCAGCCATACTATGCACTTTTTTAATCAAAGTCAATCCTTAGAGCTTGATAAAGAAGGCCTTAGTTAGTGATAAGTTAGTTTAACCAATTGTCTATATATACTACCACTTAGAATTAAGCTCACTTTTACCACTTTCTTATTTTTTTCACTTTCTCCCTCTCTTTTCCCCTTGTTTGGCTGAACCCCTCAAGCTCTCTCTCTCAAAATTTTTCCACTTCTCTCACACAAAGAAGACTTCAAACCACAATCTAGAAGAAAGAGAAGAAATTTGTGTAGGAATTCCTAGCACATTTAAGGGTAAAGATCAAAACTTTTTTCCTTTAGTTTTTATTGTTCAAAGTTCCAACTTTTCCTTAAAAGTTTAAATCTTTGTAGGAATTTCTCACTCTGGTGGTCAAAACCATTCCTCTCCTAAGGTTTGTGGTAAGATTCTTTAAAACTTATCTTCATCATTTCAACATTAAGAACAAAGTTTGGTTTAGTTACAAAGTTTGTGTTTCTATTGTTTACATGTGTGTTAAAAGGTTACATATTCACATGTAAGGAGTTTTAATGTTAAATCTATGTTTTTAAATTTGTATTTTATGGTCTAAGGTTTCTGTTTTGTGTGTTTAGAACAAAATCTAAGCTTTTTATGTTAATTTTAAGAGGTTAAAGATGCAAAAAAATAAAAATAAAAAAAATAAGTTGACGAGTTTCTGTTTTGTTTAAAAATTTCAGTTCACTTTGATTTGAAATTCGGATCTGTTAGAGGCTAAATTGAGAAAAAAGCTATTGCACGAAAGTTGTAGATCTCGACATGTTGAACATTTCTTTACGACTGAGAAAAATCTCAATTCTACTTCTAAAATGTGTTTTTAGACTTTTTCCAAAACTACCCTGAATTTCATAAAAATTGTCAAAAATTGTCAATTTGAGTTAGTTTCTGTTTTACTGTTTTTGGACCCTTTAGAGGGAAATTTTTGGATTTTTGACTCTCATAACTTAAAGGTTTCGACGTTATGGACAAATTTCTATGATTGTAAAAAATCACAATTTGGACTTTAGGACGCGTTTTCTGGCCGTTTTTAAAACTATGCAAAATAATATTTGTGCAGCCACTATTTTTAAGATTTCAGACCGTTCCGAAGTAGAACCTCATTTTTTGCGGAATACGAAACTTTTAGATCACGATAAGATGAAGAAACTTCACGAATATCAGATTTTAAGAATCCAATTCTAAGACGTAGTTAATTACAGATTAAGATAAAACTAAAAAAGTTAACCGAGAAGATTTGAAACGGTTAAGATTCTAGCGAATAACGTTTTCTGAAACGTTTGAATTCAAGTTTTACAAGAATTGAAAGTTTAAGACAAAAATTAATAAACGAGGCCATAAAAGAAAATTTTAAAATGTTTACAAACTTATGGTTATCTTCTAAAAAAAATCACTAAGTGCTTTCCGGCACCAATTTCTAATAGTTAACAATATTACTAGCGGTAAAATATGATTTACTAACGATTTTCAAAATAGGAACAAATTGAGAATTTGTATAAAAATACTAGGTATGGGTCCAACACTCGTACTAGGCCCGTAACTTTTCGAGCCTAAGTCTGACATGCTAGTGAACGATGTAGACATGTTGTAGACTAAGGGGCCTTAATACAATTTTGAGCCTAATCTAAAAAATAATATGAAATGATAACTTAGACATAGACCATGGTTGAGAATTAAGTTATCAATCTAGGACTAATTAGCAAAGGCAATTAAGGAAAATTATACGATAATGATTTATTAAAATAGTCCTTGTAATATGTAAGAAGTCAAATAATCCTTATTTAAAAGGAAATATTTTCCACGTATAGGAATAAGTTCCTAAATAGACTAAGCTAAATAGACTAGCTTATAATAAGTCAAACTCACGTCCTTAGTGAGTTTTCTTTTCATAACACAACAGTAGAGGTTAACCTCGGCAAGTAATATAGTCCCGGCCTTGGTTGTTAGCGGGTAAGTGAGAATATCGCCTATAGTATAAATAAATATAAAAATAGAATGTTATACATGTTTTATGTACATCTTTATGCTTAAAGTTATAGTATGTTATGTCATGACATATCGCATGCTCACTATTAAGATCTGTATGACAAATAAGAACATTTAAGAGTGTCGTACCATCTCTCAACTTACGGGGAGGATTTAAGGCGTGAAGAGGCAATTATTCAGTACCTGAGTAGGTAAATTAGGGTCACGATGTAGTTAGGGACATTGCAAACATTCTCTACCCACTGACCGTGAACACATCTCAGTAAGTACACTCAGGCCCAAAGGAATAATAAATCAGGTTTATAAAAGAGCATAATTGATACATACATTACTGATATACTTTAAGTACTATGTTTTTAATTAGCCAGACTTGGTTCTTACTTACTAAGTATAAACTCACCCCTAAGATGTATTTATACTGCAGAAAAACAACTAATGAAAAGTGAATGATGGCTGCACGTAACAGCAGGCGAGCAGTAATAGATACCACTCACATTTTAATTATGCAATATGTTGTGTTATGATAAGACCTTTTAATTGTATGTACGCAATATGGTTTTAAGATAATTGAGACTTCTTATATAATTTAAAAATTAATGTCTGTTAATTTAATATTAAAGTTAAGTTTATTCTCCTTATTATATGATATATATAAAAAATTTGCAAATTTAGTTTAATTAATTCAAGTATTTTAAGCAATTACATGTTAGTAAGTTTAAGAGACAGCTACTTAGTTAGGGTCGTCACATTATGACATTTTTAATATTGAAATGTTAGTTTCCGAAATGATTTCGGATGCGGAAGCGTGTGTTTAGCGGATTGTGTATAATAAAAATTTTCATAAATATTTGAAATACTCAATAGATTACGGCCTCGTTCATTTCGCGGATTTGAGTTTTCAATTCGAGTTGAGATGTGACATTTTCTGAGAGCTTTTCACTGTAGCAGAAAAAGTTAGATGTGATATTTTCTGAGAGCTTTTCACTGTAGAAACTAAAAATTGAAAACTCGAATCGGTGAAATGAACGAGGCCTACATTAATATATGTAAGAGTAAATTAATCAAATTAATTTATTTACCTAGCGGACGATTATGACGATAACTTAAATTCTTTGACCTCAAATGTTCCTCCCTCCAAGCTAGTTTAGAACACCTGAATCTTCCTCGTCAATTCCTTGAATTCACGAAGACGTGTGTGTGGGCACACCTGAAATAAAATGGTATTAGCAAATAAACACTCCAGGTTTACATGAACGTCAAAACATGCACGGCGTAGAATTTTTGGAGAAAATTTTCCTTTCCACACTCCATTAAAAACTGACCACACTATGCTAGGGAGAGCAAAAATTGTGTTATCCAATTTTCTACAATCTCCTATTTGTAGAGTAGTATTCAGACTTTTAGAAAAATTTTAATCTTTATCTCTAAGATAAAGCTTGATAGTTATCTCCTACTTCAAATTTGATTTTTGAAACAAAATCCACTCTCCCTCAATTTTGAGTCAAATTCAAGTTCAAATTTAAGTCAAACTTAAATTAAATTAATTTGAATTTGAATTGAATAACTTATCAAATAAGTCAAATGGATAACTTGGAGAGTAAGCAACTGAATCCTAGAGGGATTCACACTATAGTGTGCGTTCACACCTTCACATGCATGTTTCAAAATTCAAATTTAAGCTTAAACTTAAACTTAAATAATCACATTATTTTATTAATAATTAATTCTCAAGTAATTATCCTTGAGCGTTCTATTTTAGGATTTCATAATTCTAAAATTTTCATTTTGCCCTTTGTGTATTGTAGAAATTACAAGGATGACGCGAGGACTCATGGACCTATAATTCTGAGCTCTGATAAAATTAATAATTAATTAAACTCTTTAGTTAATTAATTGATTCTAAAAATTACTCCACTATAAACTTGGAATTGCACTCTCATAATTATAGACATAAATTACTTTAAAATTGTGAAGTGTCCATTTGATATAGTCATTACATATATATTAATTATCCATAAATAATTCATAATTAGAGTTACGTGAAATCCGTTAACCTCTCTAATTACATCTTTATCCTTGAGTACCATTGATTCTCTAATGGATAGTGATTCATAAAATAAATTCATGAATCAGAGCTCCTACTGGTCCAAGTACCGAATCAACCCTCAAGAGAATTATTTATTTACTTCTTTCTCAAGAAGGAATGGATTCCATCTCATATAATAACATTCTCGGCTACTCACTTCATCACGTCTCCAAAATATAAGGAATAAGATTCAAGATCTCAAAATCTGTACCAAGTAAATCAAAAGACACAAATCCATAAATAGGAGTATGCTAATAACTCAAGATTAAGATCAATCTATATATGATCATCAGTAGGCTCAGTTAGAATTTCTATACTTCATGAAAATTATCAGAAATTCATATTGTGTATGTATCATTGTTCCACATAATCTCATTATGTGTAATACCATCATTCAATATGTCACCATATTAACAGTGCGGATAACATCGTTGCATTCTAAATAGGAATGACATGTATTTGTAATATTTTAATTAAAGATTTTGAATTTTAATCAAAATTCATTACGAACTTCGTTTAGATTATTATCCTTAAATATTATCATCTCGCATATAACACTTATATAAAATATTTAATGTCACATAAATAATCATAAAATTTGTACTAATATTCATAAAATATTCATTGCTATATTCACATAAAATAATGAATAAACTTTTTTATTAAATAAATAATAAATGTCCTATTACATCTCATGCTTCTAGGACACCATCACAACATGAAACTAAAGAGAGAGAGAAAGTAGAATTTGCAACTATTGGACTGTTGACAACAATTCAGCCCATGTTTGTTTCACTGCTTTAGATCAGTTTAACTCAGTTTGAATAGTAAGCACAGTTTGAATTCATTTTTGGTAAGCACGCAGTTCAAATTATATTCTCCATTTCAATTGAGTTAAACTGTCAAATTTAGAGTTTAACTCCTCCTAAAGTTCAACCGTTCCAACTATTTTTGAATGGTAAAAAGGTGTCCAAACATGAATTCAAATTTTATTCCATGTTCGACCAAAATTTTAACCATAAATGCAAACATTAATTCAAACTACAATTCAAACCATATAGTTTGAATTTTTATGTTCAAATAAAAAAGTTCAAATCAATAAAATTTGAACAAGCGAACCAAAAGAGGCATCAGATTGTTAGAATTTAGGGGGGAGGTCAATTCTAAAATCAATAATTTGAGTTGTCCTTGAACTATTATTAATGGTTTGAATTGTTATTGAATTTTCCTCTCCCAAACACCAGTTTGAATCCTGAACTAATGTCTAAATCCTAAACAATAATTTGAGTTGTTAAAACAAATAGTGGTTAAGTTGGGCCGTTTATCTCAGTTTAAATAATGAATATAATTCAAACTGCATGCTTATCAAATGTCAGTTTAAATTGTGTTCATTATTCAAATTGAGTTGAATTGAACTAAACTAGTGAATTGAGACATAGAGTTTGAGTTTTTCAAAAAAACAAAAAAAAATAAAAAAAAACAATAGAAGATAAATTAATATATTTTTAATTTGTGACGATATTCTTCATTTTTTCAAAAATATGTATAACATTCTAGTTAAGCCGAATTAGATATTTTCGTTCAAATATTTCTTTTTAAGAAGGCAAAGTAAACACATCATACATATGAGACCCAATAAGATTCAATTTCAAGTCGACACAATCAACACTTGATATATGTTCTACAAAAGCTGCCTATACAATCATACGGATTTAGTTACATGTTACTAAAATTAAGCTGGTAACTCAGGTAGTGATACAATGATATTACTCAAAAGTCAGATAAAATTAGCGCATTTAGATTTATTATAAATAAGTTTAAGTTAAAATTATGTTAAATTCGTGAAACACGATTAAATAATATATCATTTTTAGATTAACCCGTTAACCTATAATTAACATATTATAACTCATTTATTAAACGTGTCATATTTAAATAATATAAATATACAATACAATTACAACCCGTTTATTACCCGTTTACAAACTATATTTTTTTTAAATACTTAATACTATATTCTTTTCTTCTTTTCTTCTGAAGCTAGGTTTTCACTTTTCACTTATTGCCTCCTCTCATTTTCTCACTCACCCGCCGCTATCTCCTCCCGAGAGCTCCACTGCCGCTGGCCCTCTAGGTCTCCAGACAGCTCCACAGCCGCTTCTTCTTCTTCTTCTTCTTTCATCTCCGCCCTATTCTCTCTGGACTTCGTCATCTCTCTGTCAGATTCGGCGATGAGAAAGTCTTGTTCTTCTCATTTCTTCGTCAGATCGGCCTTCGTGAAGTCTTCTTCTTCTTCTTCTTCTTCTCCTTCTCCGTCGAATTCGGGCTTCGGGAAGTGAGATTCTCAGCTCCGTTTCAGGTATTTCCCATTTCTTCAGAAAATAAAGTTTTTTTTTTCCTCATGTTCAGAAAATCCACTTCATTGTGGATTTTTGATTTATGTGTTTGTGTTTTTGTTTTGATGATTTATGTGTTTTTGTTTTGATGATTTATGTGTTTATGGTTTGATTTATGAACTTTACATGATTTCTGCTTTCTAACTTTTTTTTCCCCCCTGTGTTTATTTGTTTTACTTTTTTAACTTGCTTTGAGTAGGGATGATTTCCTGTCTAAGGGATTTAAACTGGTGTTGTAAATAGAGCAATGTCCATGGGGCTTCTTCTGGCTTCTTGACTAATTGCAAAACCCAGTAAGGATTTTCTCTAGTTCTTACGTTTGATTTCTCTTTTTCTGTTTTTCTGGTTGGTTCTTTTCTGTTCTTGTTGTTGATTCCAATTGGAATTGATTCGTCTATTGTGTTGAGTTTATTTAAGTTGATGAACTTGTTTTGATCAATCTTCAAATTTGTGTTGGTGAATCATAATCGTCCAATTGTTGACCACTCGTTTGCCCCTTTCTTCTTTTTCTGATAATAACACATTTTGTTAGTTTCTTAGCTCTGTAACTGCTATTTCAAAGGCCTGCTTTGGTTTGATCGCCCTTGGATTCTGAAACCCTCATAACTTTGTTTAATTCAGTCTAATCCATAGTTTGATTTCAAACAGATTACTTCTCTTAGACTTAATCAAACCATTAGTGAATGATTACCTTTAAAAAAGGTACTATTGGTGAATGATTATTCTTCTTCATGATCATCCATATTCAATGAATATGATTTGTTTGCTTGCTCTTATGTTTGAATTACGCAATTTATGTCTATGGCTTCTTATTATGTTGTACTCAATGGAGTTAGCTTAATTCATTTTGCATACTGCACCATTTGATGATTTATGTGTTTATGGTTTGATCTGTGTTCATTTATGTGTTTTCGGTTCATTTCATTTTCCTTTTTCCCGTAAAGAAGGGTAAAACAGGGGGAAAAAAAGGGATATAACCCAACCAAAATAAAAGGGGAAAGTCGGAAAATAAATCCTTTCCTGTGTAATTTCATCTGATTGTTATGGTATTTTCTGCTCTTTTTTACATCTATGTAGGTCATGGAGTTTCTCAAGTCACTTGTGATATGGAAGAAATTGAGTTCCTTATAAATACTAATATCGAACATATAAAGAAGAGAATACTCTTGACTTATACGTATATGATAATGATGGCCTACTTGTTTTTCTAGAAATTATACCGAGAGCTTTGCGAGCAGAGTTGCATAAAAGACGTTTTTTTTTTTTTTTTTCCTTCAACATGGAGATGTCGGTGCCTAGTTGTTCTGCTCCAAGTTTTTGGTCTTAATTGTAAATTCTCAACTTTAATTATCTTCTAATTTGTTTTATGTGAGAAATTGTAAGAGAGTTTTATGTGTTTGTTTTAATTTTTAACTTAGATTATTTAATGTCTCTCCAGCATGTTAAAGAGGTTGAGAAACAGATCTTTAAGTACAAACAGGTTGAGAAACGGGTTGAAAAACAAGTTGATTTATAGGTTGACACGACCCATTTATTATCCATTTTATAAACGGGTTGAAAAACAGGTTGAGAAATAGGTTAACACGACCTATTTATCATCTACTTACTATTTAAAATTAATGATTTTAGTCTAAAATCATTAATTTTAAATAGTAAGTAGATCCTATATAAAACCTAGAGTTTTTATTTTTTATTTTTTTATTTTTAAATATGATGTATTATCTTATAAACTTATAAAATTATTAATTTAGTCGATTGACTCTAAGTCATCGCCTATTTGTTGGGTATTAATCTTTAGAGTTTTATTATACATCGATTCTTTCCGTCTTTTATTTTCATTTTTTTAAAAATTTTTTTATGAATAAAAAGTTTGAGGGGGCGACCAACATTAACATTTTGAGTAAGTGTTTCCAAAGGTGTTTAAATGATGACGAGAATGTTCGCTGAAAACTATATTGTAGGCCCTACTCCTTATATAAGGAGCGCATCACCTAACTCCAGCACCACCCCCACCGAATGTATATATGGGAGGCATAGTTCCATGCACTCTACTAGGCTGGTATGTAACAACCATTCATATTTAATACCCTCAGGGATAATACAACAATTATTATTATTATTATTATTATTATTATTATTATTATTTGTTTTGCTAATCAGGATAATGCAACACTTAAAACTATGACCACAAGCCTAACATTAGGCTAGTAGGCTGCTACACTCGTTGTTACTCTTTCACTTACCTAAATTAAGAAAGACATCCTCTCAACCAAAATATTTTACACTAACACCCTTCATCTTAACTTTAATAATCTTAGTATGAATGACCGAAGTACCCCTCCAAAACTTTTTATCCATTCATGTTTTTTAATAATAGGGAAACTTTATTTGACTTTCACCAACAACCTATCAATTATTGTTATGATTTTTTTAGGGGATTATTATTTTCATTTGCTTCAAAGTGATAATCTCATTTGTACCTTCATCCCCGAGTCAAGATGCCTAAGCAATTAGAATTTTCGGTTGCAGCCTTTTTCACAGAAGGTTGACACATATATCAAATGCTTCACAATATGCTTCGCCAAATCATCACGTCATTTTATCATTCAAAGCATGTAATTTCATCCACCTCTTTCAGTCCATTAATCCTCCAACGTTCCCTCACTTCATCGCTCCTGCCAAATCCAACATCTTTACAAACTCTATGCTCCAACCGTCGACTGAGAGAAGCCTTGTTGAAAATGGCCATTCAAGGCCATGAAAGTAAGTTAGATAGCTATAATGCGCTCTTGAATGAGTGTGTGAGCCAAGGGACTGTTAAAGAAGGCCAAACTGTCCATGCTCACATGATCAAAACATGTTATTTTCCATCGCTAGTGTATTTAAGCACTAGGCTGATCGTCTTGTATGCGAAATGTGATTGTCTGGATGATGCACGTAAGGTGCTCGATGAAATGACTCTAAGAAATGTGGTGTCGTGGACGGCCATGATTTCCGTTTATTCGCAAAAGGGTTATGCTTCTGAAGCCTTGAACCTTTTTGTTCAGATGTTAAGATCAGGTATTTTGGTTTTCGCTTCTTGTCTTTTTATCTTGAAATATGTTTTGGGTACTACTAGTGTTAAGTATCACTACTAATAGAGAGTGGGCCTCACTTGTTTGTGATCCCCTTCTATTTTTTATTTTTTATTTTTTATGAAAAGAAGTCCGGAGAGGGTGCGGTTAGGGTTAGCCCCCAGATGTGAACAGGAATAGTCGCTGAAGGCCCTATAGGTGAGACCCACTCTCTATTAATGTATACTGTTGAACACACAACTGGTGCCTTTTAGTACTGCTCTTTTATCTTAATAGTGATATACTTTTTCTTTTTTTCTTTTACTAGAAATGGTGATTGCTTTTAAATTTTGCAGGTACAGAGCCTAATGAGTTCACTTTTGCAACAGTACTTACTTCATGTACCTGTTCTTCAGGATTAGAGTTAGGAAGACAAATCCATTCGTTTGTTTTGAAGACAAGTTTTGAATCCCATATGTTTGTTGGGAGCTCACTACTTGACATGTATGCGAAAGCTGGTAGGATTCATGATGCTCGACAGGTTTTCACTTGCTTGCCAGAAAGGGATGTTGTTTCATGTACTGCTATAATCTCAGGATATGCCCAGCTTGGCTTTGACGAAGAGGCGTTGGAACTATTCCGTCAGTTACTAAGGGAGGGAATGGTCCCAAACCATGTTACTTATGCTAGTCTATTAACGGCATTATCTGGGCTTGCTGCATTAGATCTTGGAAGGCAAGTTCACAGCCATGTCCTTCGGTCCAAGGTGCCCACATTCATTGTTCTGCAGAATTCTTTGATTGATATGTATTCAAAATGTGGAAACCTTGCTTACTCGAGGAGGGTCTTTGATAGTATGACTGAGAGAAGTGTCATCTCTTGGAATGCCATGCTTGTAGGATATAGTAAACATGGAATGGGAAGAGAGGTAGTTGAGCTTTTCGATTTAATGAGAAAAGAAAACAAAGAGAAGCCTGTTTCGGTCACTTTTTTGGCAGTTTTATCTGGCTGCAGCCACGGAGGTATGGAAGATAAAGGGCTGGAGATTTTCTATGAGATGAAAAAGGGGACGTATGGAGCTGAGCCAGAGATGGTGCATTATGCATGTGTTGTTGATCTGCTTGGTCGTGCCAGTCGAATAAATGAGGCTTTTGAGTTCATCAATAAAATGCCCTTCGTGCCAACTCCTGCCATTTGGGGTTCTCTTTTAGGTGCTTGTAGGGTTCATTCCAATTTCGAAATCGGTGAATTTGCTGGTCGTCAACTCCTAGAAATCGAGCCTGAAAATGCTGGGAACTATGTTGTTCTTTCTAATCTGTATGCTTCTGCAGGGAGATGGGAAGATATGAGAACCATAAGGGAATTGATGAAGGAGAAGGTTGTTATAAAAGAACCAGGAAGAAGTTGGATTGAGATTGATCAAATTCTTCATACTTTTCATGCAAGTGAGCGCTCCCATCCAAGAAGAGAAGAGGCAAAAACAAAGCTAATGGAATTATCCACGAAGTTCAAGGAAGCTGGTTATGTTCCGAACTTGAGTTGTGTTTTATTTGACGTGGATGAGGAACAAAAGGAGAAGATTCTCCTGAACCACAGTGAGAAACTTGCTTTGGCCTTTGGTCTGATTGCTACTTCCGAAGGTTCACCTATCCGTGTAATAAAAAACCTCCGAATTTGCGTTGATTGTCACAATTTCGCCAAGATTTTCTCAAAGATTTATGGAAGGGAAGTGTCTCTTAGAGATAAAACGCGGTTCCATCGTATTGTGGGAGGTATCTGTTCTTGTGGAGACTACTGGTGAGCTTTGAGGAATATGTTGGTTTCAGCTAAACTTTCTAGCCGGTTTTGGAAATATGAAGAACAGAAGCCACATGAAAAGAATGGTTGAAAATAGGGATCCATAAAAGAAATCCCGATCAACGCAATGGGATTCAATCGGGTTCTCCCGCATTGGTGGGCCATCCAACCCGGTCGGGTTGAATAAGGGTGCTCTATTTAGAACACAGGAAATCTGAGGAACCCTATGTTAAGTATGGACTGAAACTTTGTGGGTTGCGTCTAACAGTAAAAAAGATGTGGGACGTGTGAGGCACAAGAAGAACACATAAAGATTGTGAGAAGTAAAAGAAGCCCCCTTTCGGGTTCTCTAGGTTTTGTGGAAATGATCTTTCAACTAGGGAGTTATAGACATTGATTATTCTTTTGAATTGTTTTTAGGAAAATGGAAGCGGAAGAATATAGTAGATTGTAAACTTTGATTACTAACATGATTTGGCGGCAAAAATAATATGCTTATTCTTATGTTACAGGTACTACTGTAAACAGACATGCATGGATCTATGTAAATATACACGTTTCTGTTGAAGTATAGAAGGAATGCATAAAACCATCTCCGATGAAAATATTAAATGGTAATTGCATATTTAGCACTAAAAAATATAATAGGATATGTTATGTTTACTTGGGGCCTGTTTGTTAGCATTTCCGTTTTCATTTCTCACATTTTTCGAAGTAAAAAATTAAAAACGGAGCCAAAAAACGTGTTTGGCTAAGTTTGTGTCAGAAAACAAAAACAAAAATGTTTTTGTCGTTTTCCGGAATTTTGAAAACGGAAAAAATCCGTTTTCATTTTCTTGTTTTCATTTTTGGTTTCCTTCTTTCTTCCTCGATCGTCCTCCCCCGTTTCTCCTTCTTCGATTTTTTCTTCCCCTTCAGCCGAGCTCTTCTTCCTTCTTCCCTTCCCTTCTTTAGCCGAGCTCTTCTTACCGGCCGAGCCCCGGCGTTCTTCTCGCCCAAGAGTCGCGCCGTTTGCTTCTCACCGGAGCACCTTCTTTCGCTTGAGCTCCTCCGGTCTCTTGTTGCCCAATCTGCGCCGTTCTCCGTTTTCGAACCGAGGTATGCCCCTAGCCAAAAATGTTTGAACGTGTTTGATTTTCCGATCGACTTGGTTGAGCAATTTGTTTTTTTATTTTTCTTTTCCGTTGTCTCGCCGTTTGATTTGCTATATTCAACCAAATCGGTTGCTGTTTTCCGTTTGATTTGGTGTTTGTTTTTCTATCCTATGCTTGATCTGATCTGGTTTTTTTTCCATTTTCTTTTTCTTTTTCCCCTGGAGGCCCCCGTTGGGGCTGATACAGCCCCTGGGGGCCTCCCTTTGGGGCTGGCCTGGGAGGCCCCCAATGGGGATTGAAAATCAGCCCCCAATGGGGGCTGATTATCAGCCCCTGGGGGCCTCCCTTTGGGGCTGGCCTGGGAGGTCCCCAATGGGGGCTGAAAATCAGCCCCAATTGGGCTAAAAATCAGCCCCTGGGGGCCTCCCTTTGGGGCTGGCCTGGGAGGCCCCCAATGGGGGCTGAAAATCAGCCCCCATCAGCCCCTGGGGGTCTCCCCCCAATGGGGGCTGAAAATCAGCCCCTGGGGGCCTCCCTTTGGGGCTGGCTTGGGAGGCCCCCAATGGGGGCTGAAAATTAGCCCCCATCAGCCCCTAGGGGCCTCCCTTTGGGGCTGGCCTGGGAGGCCCCCAATGGGGGCTGAAAATCAGCCCCAATGGGGGATGAAAATCAGCCCCCATCAGCCCCTGGGGGCCTCCCTTTGTGGCTGGCCTGGGATGCCCCCAATGGGGGCTGAAAATCAGCCCCCATCAGCCCGGGGGCGGGATGAAAATTAGCCCCAATGGGGGTTGATTTTCAGCCCCCATCAGCCCCATTGGGGGGGGGGGGGGGGGGGGTGTTCCCCCATCAGACCCTGCGTGTGTCTATGTCTGTGTGTGTGCATATACTTTACAAATTGACATTTATTTTAATTGGTAAAAGTGTTATTTTAGATGTGTGATAAGGACGATAATACGAAATGGCCGGCCGCAATTGAGGATTTTTATGTAGAACTAATATACGAAGAGTCAAAGACTGGGATGCAAACATCCACTATGGACAAAAAAACGTGGATGAAAATTGCCAATGAAATAGCACTTAAGTTTGGTAAGCATTTCACGTCAGACCAACTTAAAGCAAAGTGGAATAGGCTTAGACGTAGCACGAGGGAGTTTAAGGCATTAATTGAAACAACAGGGTTTGGTTGGGATTCCTAGGCTAACACTGTCACAGCTGAAAAAGAAGTATGAGATTCATATGTGGCGGTAAGTTTTGAGCATTAACATCTTATGTTATATGAAAGAGTTGAATTGGTGTTTGGATTACACATGAATATTTACTCTTGTTTTCTTTATAATGTCAGAAACATCCTGAGAGTAAAAAATTCAAGAAAGGGGGTTTGCAGAACTTTGCCCAACTTTCACAGATTTTTTTTGGACTATTGCTACTGGACAGGGGTCAATGAATGCACATACTGTCATTAATGTTTTGAATGTGGCGAAGAGAGCGGCCACACAACCGGAAGAGGTGGAGGAGGGTACAGGGGACTCGGATGAAATCCGGGGTGCGGAAGACAATAGAAACAGACGGTCTCAGGGTCCTACTACTCGATCCAAGAAGAAGGGCAAGAACAACAGTGCAGTTGACGCGGCTATAGAGGCTTTGGCAAAGAGTGCTACCATACGTAGTGAGACATCTGTTCAAAAGGTTGATTTGTTTCAGCAATATTTAGTTGATAGGCAAGCCCGTACTATGGCATTAGCCGAGGCTCAGAAAGAGGATCCAACTACAAGTATTGAAACCTGTATGGATTTGCTGAATGAGTATAGGGAGTATTTAGACGACAATGCGTATACTAAGACAGCGCACCAGTTGGCGGTTGACATTTCCCTTAGGAGGATGTTTGTGAAAATGCCCGCTTGTCGTCATCTTTCATAGATTCGAAGTCTGTAGTTTAAATGATTATTATATTGTTTTCTTTATTGTTTCCTCTCGGACGTATGTTTTTTTTTTTTTTTAAGTATTGTTGAGCATGTACAACATATTTTCCTCTTGGACAAGTGTTTGTTAGAGTTTGTTATTTGTTTTTAGTCGGATTGAATTACATTGGAGTTATTCGTTTGATTAGTTAATGTTATATGGATGTTTGATTAGTTCCAGTCTTGGTTCATTTTTTAGGTTAATATGGATTCAGATAGTGAGAATGATGCTAGAGCTGTTGACTTTCTCCAGTCATCAGATGATGATGAACAACAACAACATTATATCAAATTATTGATGTCAATTGGAAACAGACGAACTAGGCAATCTCGTCGTAATTCTGCGTTAACATGACAAGAATATGTTTTAGAACAATTACATGGACATCCCGAAAATTTGTTTGAAATGTGTCGTATGCATCGAGACACGTTCGAAGCAATTGTTCAGTTAATTCGAGGCCGCAATCTACTGTCTTCTTCAAGTATTTCAGCAGAAGAATCTCTAATGATGTTTTTAAGAACGGTTGCTCACTTAGATCGCAATAGAGAGATACAAGATAGATTTTGTCATTATGGAGAGACAGTACACCGGCATTTTGATAATATGCTTACCGCATTGTCTACGTTAGCACCTCAAGTTATAAAACTACCAAATATGAACATTGTCCCCTAAGAGATTTGACACAACCCTAAGTACTGGCTATGGTTTAAGGTACAATCTGACTCTCATCATATACTACTAATATGACAAATAATTTTAAATTAATCGTAACTCATGCCTTATGTATTTTAATATGATTGTATTGGTGCAATAGACGGTACACACATAATGGTTGTCCCACCTGCACATCAACAGACAGTCTACAGAGGAAGAAGACATTCGTGCACTCAAAATGTAATGGCGGCGTGTAGTTTTGATATGCTATTCACTTATGTCAATACCGGATGGGAAGGATCAGCTGCTGATTCCAGAGTATTAACTGAGACTATGAGAGATCCAGATGACCCATTCTTGGCGCCACCCCCCAAAACATTACGTTGTGGATTCCGGTTACAGCAACACGCAAGGCTTTTTGGCACCATTTCGTGGTCAGAGGTACCATATTCAACAGTTTAGAAATGGTGGTCAACTAACGGGACCACAAGAGTTATTAAATTATTATCACTCTTCACCGCGTAATTGCATAGAGAGGTGCTTTGGGGTCTTGAAAGCAAGGTTTAAAATTCTTAGGCATATGACCAATTATTGGATGCCAAGACAAAATGTTATACCAATAGCTTCTTGTGTGATCCACAATTTAATTAAGATGCACGCGCGAGATGATCCTCTATTTAGACAATATGAGGTCGATTTGCTTGTAGAAGATATTGAGGGAGAATAAGAAGGGCAACAGGAACAACAACATGGTATGGATGCACAAGAAGCAGAAACATCTGAAATGGGTGGTCGGCAACAACGTAATTACATGGTTAATTTTAGGGATCATCTAGCTAATCAAATGTGGGATTCGTATAGGCGACAATAATTTAAGCTAATATTGTAATTTCCATATTTTATTAATTATTAGTGTTTTTATTTGTGATTCAATTATTATTTATTTAATATATTAAATACATGTTTTCAAAAATGAAACCACCAAACGCAGTTTCAGTTTTTTTTTTAAACTGAAATCAATCTCTAAATAAAACTACCAAACGCATTTTCAGAAATAATTCAAAAATGAAAATGAAAACGTTTTCATTTTCATTTTCGTACAGAAAACAAAAACATTTTGGAATCAATTCCAAACGCACCCTTGTGCTCTAATGGATAATGTTATTTGAAATATTAAATTTATTTTTATCTGTATTATTCATTAAGTATTGAAGATTGTAAAAGTAAATTTTTAATTTTAAAATAAGGGATATGTATGTCTAGCGTATCGGTAGATTAGGTTTTTGTAACTGTTGGATTTGTATATTTTATTTTTATTTTTATGTGATTTTATGTAGATCTAACGAACAAAAAATTTAGTTTATCGGTATGTTGACATACCGGAGAAGGTCTCTTAAAATAATTTGAAAAAGTAAAAGTTGTAATGATTAAATGAAAAAGTAAACATATTAAGTAATAGTAATCAAATGTTAAATTAATGTCAAATTTGTTATAGTTGGTGGGAAATTTGTCATAAAGTATAACATATGACAAATTTAGCACAATAAGTAACATTTGATTAGAGGTTTTTTTGCAGTCAAATGTTAAATTTATAATTGACACACCAACTAATCAACTCTTATGAGAAAAGTATACATTGTAATTAGAACGTCTCAAAACCAACTTAAGAGATCAAAACAACAATGATTTACTCTACTAAATACTAATAGAATAGTAGGGTAAGTCTTCCATATTGCCGAGCACGGCCCGTGAATTAACATGCCGTGTCGTGCGAATACGTGTTTGAAGTATTTACATGAAATGATCATTTTTACCTTTACATTTAGGATATTTATTTAATTTAATAATATTATCCATATGTCAATTTTATGGTTGTTAATATAATATAATTCTAAATATACCATTTTTTATTTGGGTGGTTGTGAATTTGTGAATGTTAAAAGGAAGTTAGATAGGGATGGAAATGCTATTAGGAGTTATTTTACATACTTATATGCAAATATAATAACTTGCAGACATTTTTTTGGTTTGTAAAATAGACATATATGTAATTAACTCATATGTGTTTGGGTGTGTGGTGCACTTGTGCTAGTGGGCTTGTCCAGCCCATTTGATAACTCAAAAGGAAAATTAGATAAATACTATGAATCAAAATTTTTATTCCTTATTTTTAATTAATAATTTTTTTAATTAAATAATTATATGAGTAAAAAAGTATTAATAAAGAGTGAGGAGATAAAATTCTAGAAGGTAAGTTTTACAATTTTAAGCCAAACAACTAACAACTAGGCTCCTTAGGCCCAAACCCATAGTGAGCTTTCCCCAAAACGACGTCGTATTTGCTCACCTCCCCCTCCCCTTCCAAAGCCCATTTGATACATCAGGGCACTTGACCTGACCACTCTATTTCTCTCTCTATTCGTCGTCTGAACCCCAAAGCTCTAACGACGGCATCCATCATGCTCCGGCACCGCGTCCTTTCCGCCCTCCGTAGCCGCGGCGGCGCAACCGCCGGTCCCAGCCGCTGGGCCACTCCCGGCCACGAGGAACACCCCAAGGGCTACTTCCTCAACCGGACTCCGCCGCCGCCCGGCCAGTCCCGCAAGTGGGAGGACTGGGAATTGCCCTGCTACGTCACCAGCTTCCTAGCCATCGTCATCCTCGGCGTCGGCCTCAACGCCAAGCCCGATCTTACCATCGAGACCTGGGCCCACAAGAAGGCCCTCGAGCGCCTCGAGGTCGAGCAGGTCGCTTCCGAATCCGACTGATCGGAACTCGGTGAGTGAGATCGTTTTCTATGGATCGAAAAGCTGTTTCTGCGATTTGATTAGGGTTTGGGGGATTGATGATGGAAAATAATGGGTTGTTGATATTATAGCTCGAAAATAAGGCCTTTTGTTTTTCGAATCTCTGTGAAAGCTTTAACTTGTCTGCGTAATTTTACTTTCTGGACGTTTTGACTCGTTTATTATGTCTCAAATAGTTCATAAAAGTTTTATTGCTTCCAATCTATGGGTTTTGTGTTTATTTCGATGTTGGTTTAATCCTATAATTTGCAATTTGCAGTGATTTTCGCGGGTTCGAATCATGATTTAAATTTTTAGGGCAGTATTTTCTCTGGTAAAAATTCAAATTCAACTTTTTCGCTATAGCCTTTTCTCTCACATAAACTCGAAACTGCAAAAGGAATGGCTATATGGCTATCATAGTCATTATAATGAGGTATTGTGTGTGTTAGAGCTGTTAATTACACTTTTGATATGGTAAAACTTGTTTAACAACAAATGTGATTCTACTCTTGCTTTTAAGTGGGAAATTCCGGCAATGTGATGTAGTGCCAAAGTGACACCACACTGGAAAGGATAAAAACCTTTCTAAAACTCGTTGACTCACTCAAAATATCGGACAAAAGTGCATTTACCAACCTGTTGATTCGCTCACGAATATCAGAAAACTAGTTAAAGAGTCAAAAATCGTCACACAAAAATTTAGAGTAAGAACTCTGAATTATAAAACGTCATTGATAAAACTGTAGTCTTTTAGTGTTCATATGCTTTCTTGTTACCTCATTGGTTTGTTATTCCCTATTCCTTTAGGTGGCATGAAAGTTCAAAGTTGTTTCTTTCCAAGTGGCATTGTTTGTTCCCATGGATTATATTGTATTTATAGGCTTACATAGAAACTAGTTTTAATTCCCTAGAGTTGCTTCTTTCCCCAAGTTGTCTGGTTTGTTCCCATGGTTTGCAATCGGGACGAAAGAGCTCCCTGTTTATCTAGATATCCAAAAGTTTCGGAAAAAAAAAAAAAAAAAATCTCATTCGCAGCCTCAAGTACAGGAATAATCGATATAATTTTCTGAAGAATACCATGATGCTATGCTAAAAAATGTGTGTTAAAACAAGACATTAAGGTTATCATCACATAAATAAGCAGTCCGTATTGTATCATAATACAGGAAAGTTTTATTGGTTATCACTCTATAAAACTTTGTCTTTAGCTTTTTAAAATTACAATCATGCAAATGGTGGTTCTTGAATTTAAATTTTAAAAAAACCTTACACAGTTCTGCAAATTAATAAAAAATGCTCTGGGGGTGTTTATTTTTTTCCAGTGCGTTGGGTTCCTTGCTAAACCTCATTACTATGCTTCATCTTTTGTCTGCTGCTAATGAAGTGCCCTTTATTTTCTTTTTCTATTATGATAAACTTTGAACATAAACTCTGTTTCGTACCCATGTACTGAAGAGGCATAGATCATAAGCGTGCGGTTGGAGTTTTTGATATATTTCCATATTCATCACTCTCTGTTAGTAGTTTTACTTTGCCTGGTTGCTCTATTCAGAACAAATGTTTGCATGAAAAGATAAGATAGACATTGTTTGCACCACTTTATTCAGTGGTTTGTTAAAGTAATCATGATATTGCAGTTATAGTTTTATATCAGATACAAGGCAACTATTCTCCAAGGCGATGCAATGCCGCTTTTAACAGTTTTATTCCAAGCCTTGATTGAATCATAGTTCTTTCTGAGTTGGGTTATCCGTGCACTTGGAAAAATTTACAAAAAATCTGTTCCTCACTGGTGGTTGGTGCAAGTACATCACATATTCAATCATTCATGATTAGATTCTATTGCTGTTTTGTGGTCAATTTGTTCAAGTTTACCACCATCACTCGCATCATAAGCATTGGCACCGGACTGGAGGACGAAAGCTTTTTCAGATTTTCGTTTTGGCATGCCGTGTGTCCCTTCTATATCTCCTGTAGTCTTGGCTACTTGAACTGAACTACCAAACTTGTGGTTTTGGAACAAAAAGAAAGGAAGGAGTGAGTTTAGATATCTAATTTCTCAACCCCCTGCAACACGAGTTGTATGCATGTAAAGACTGACTAGGATGATGCAGAATCACACTTTGTAGCTCTCTGCTGGTTGGGACACTTGGGCCTTGTTGCTAGGAACACACGAGTCCTTACTATAAATGATAACTATAATGGTTCAAAATCATATTTTTTGTGACCCTAAGGGATAGAATCGAGGTAATTGGATTGGGTTATTTTGGATTTTTAATTGGATGATGAAATCCAATATAAGTTATTTTCTAAAAATGTTTTTTTTGTTTACCCGTGTGGAAACTTTAAAATTATTACCTTTTTTCTCTCGTCTTCTTTTGTGTTTGAAATAGGTATTCTGTTCCCTAAAAAAAAAAAAAAAAAGGAATTTTCTTGTAGTACTTTGTTTATCTCAAGACTTCTATGGTTTCTTATTTCTATTTTATTGCAGTTATTAGTTATTTTGGACATGTTCCTAGGTACTAATGAGATGTCCTTAAACGCATATGTTTTAATGTGTGTGTGCATAAAAGAAAGAAAAATTTGATTTACTTCTTCCCCCTTTTCCTTATGAGAAAATTGTTGAACTTATTTATAGAGTGCATGGTTTGGATATAGTTATTTGATTAACTAATATAGTTATTTGATTAAAACTAATATAATTATTTGATTAAAATTAATATAGTTATTTGATTAAAAAAATATTAATTAAAAATAAAAGATAATAATTTAAACTTACATACTCTTAATAGGTATTTGTCTCATTTTCTCGTAAGAAAAAAAACTTGGCTCTCAATAGTTGGCCAAGTAAGGCCCGACCCTACGTCTTACCAACCATCTATGGGTTAATGTCTCGAGTGATTGGATAATTTATAAAATACCATTTTTAGGCAGCTGATGTTCAAATTTATCATTTTTAGGAAAAATCTGAGCCTACATTAAACGTAAAAATTATACAGTGAGATTAACTATATATTTCATGAATGTACTTGCATAGTTTACACTAATATGATGAGCTTGGGCGTGCTTGCGACATTGCAATGACCGACTCATGTAGCTCACAAGTCAGAATGATGCGACCCTTGTGCTAGAGGCACCTGTGATTCGTGCACGCGCCTCTCACTGTGCGACGATGGGCGTTCAGATTTCGAAAGATCAAGCGCCAACGCGAGTAAGATGCGTCTTGTTGAGGTCCTCCTGTTAGATATGCTCTATATTATGCGCTCAACAACATGTTTGTCGATCAAATATTTGTAATCAAAACCGTGTTTTTGGCAAAATATAGTTGGTTTCCTTAAAAGGTTTCACTAGTAACATCATAGACTTTGTTAGTAATATGGTGGCAGGTATATCTTACGTAAGATGACAAGCTACTTTGAGTAACGTATGAGGCTACCTTTGGTAACCCAGAAGACTGCCTCTGTTGTTGAGGTTGTCAATGGGCTACAGACCCGTGATGAGAGAGAAACTTGCATGAAGAGTGCGTGAGTCAAGATTTTTATTTCTCACTTGATTAATATCTTTTTGTTAATATAATTATTTGACTAAAAAGAGTATGAGGAGTAAATATCTAGACTTATATACTATTTATTTCATTTCTCCGAGCTGATATGATACTGTGGGTGTTGGTGACGATTGGTGTAATTAGTATGGCGATTGGTCTAGGCAAGGGTATAATTAGTATCATAATTTTTCTCCCCTGTGTTAGAAAATAACCGACAAAAAAAAAGGTTTACGATGAAAATCAAACCACGGATTTAGAAAGTGATAAAAAAAAATCCCGATCAACATTTTTTTGTTTGTTTTTGGTTGTAAAAAAGAATAAATTCTTGTTAATTAATATGAAACGGGTTCCTAAGGAGAGATAAAGGTTTTTCCTGCTCTTATTGGGCCTTTGCCTCTGAAATCGTGGAAGAGGATCAAGCTCCAATCAATCACAAGTAACTTGACAACTTTTGTTAGGGGAAGCAATTTGACAAAATGCTTGATCAAGCTTAAAATCAACTAGTTTGTGTATAACGCTACATAAAAAAATAAAAAATAAAAAATAAAAAAGGGGAAAAGTTTCGCACTGCAAAACAGTTTTTTTTTATTATTTTATTTTTATTTTTAAATAATGTTGCAATATGGGATTTTAAGAAGACAATTTTGGTAGATACGTTGTTGCATATTAGTCTAATTATAATTAGTAATTACGCTATTCCAATTATAGTTACGTCCTATTTCTAATGTTGAGATCTTAACTTTAAATCTTGCACCCTCTAAATTTATTATTATTATTATTATTATTATTATTATTATTATAGAACTCGTTGAATAAAATAATTAACCTGATTTTTTTGACAAAAAATAATAATTATCCTATTACACCTTAATTCGTACATGTTTTTTTTTCCCCCTAATTTGTGTTTCTTAAGACTTGAACTTAAAACTTAACATATTAAAAGCAACTCACATACCTATTAAATATGAATTGAGCTAACCTCAAATTTCCCCTTTTTTAATGACTGCTACCTGGCCACTATATATTTAATACAAATATAATACTAATATTAGTAATAAATACATTCAACTGTTACAATGTATAAACTTGAGAAGCAAACTGGATCCCGAGAACAATTTGTCTTTCAGAGCCTAATATGTTTTTCCAATGCGATTTAACAAAGTAAACTCTTGACTTGTTTTTTCTGTTCTCAATCAAAACTAATCAATCTCCCACTAACCGATAAAATAATCCCATTAACGGTAAACTAGGACTGGAAAGTAAGTAAGATGTTCGTTTAATAATGCTCGTCTCCAAACACACCTTCTAAGAAAGTTACTAATTAGAATTTAGGATTCAGAGTCAGAAACCACGTTTTGATGCTTAGGAAAGTTAGAACAACATATTATTGACTATGTTTGAATTACATTTATTTATTTATTTATTTTAAACATGCAAATGCATTTATTTGCCTATTTTGTAGCCCTATTCCAAGCTTTTGGATTATGTGAGGTTGGTTATATTATATATGTCCATATTAATACTTTTTTTAATACTTTAGATCAAATTAATTAAAGAATATCTTTGATAGGGCCTCCTTATTAGTATAATTTATTTCTGATCATTAAACTTAATTGAAATCACATCTTATTTTTTATACATATCTAACAACTAAAAATAAAGATTTATCAGTAGTTT